GCTGACTAAGCCCACAGTGGCCTTGGGACTGATAACCATACCTTTATGTTGTAGAAAAAGTATGGTTTTCTGGATCTGAAGCAACCCCTCCACAAAGGCTTTGTTCCAGGACATTATCAGCTCTCCCAAGGAAATTCCTGGTTTTAGACCAGACTCTCTGTTTCATGGTCAATATATCAGGCCCTTAGGAAAAACTCTCAAGGCCTAGGTCCCAAACTGTTACTAGCTCTCCCAAGAATGTTTCTCCTACCTGACAGAAGGCCTACATGAAAGCCTTGCTTGATCTGGCAAGTCCCTAACACAACAGTGTTTTACTTTTCAAATAGTTGTCACTTGGTGTCTTTTTGGCCCCCTGGCAGAACTGTATGCTGTTCTCAAGAAGAAAACTGGATCTTTATGGCACACCAGGCCTTAAGTTTGCTTGTGACCCTGTAATGCCTCCTTGAGCAGCTTGATACAGGCATATGCTTTGATGTGGGCATGGGCCTAGAAACTGCTTGTAAATCAAGGTTGGCAAAATGTCTGGACAATCCTGGTGAACAAATTTCTATCCTAGCATCCTAATTTCTAATAGGCCTGTTCAACATACACTTGTCTTTGGGTGTTTTATAGGCAGTTCTCCCTCAGCTACATTCCACTTTGTGAAACTTACTATCTCCTAAGCATTGCTAAATCTTCTGAATTACCAATTTTACTCTTCTATATCACAACTCAGTAGTGAAGTGCTACCCAACACATGAGATGCCTTTTACAACCTCCACAAAATTAGCAATAAATGGATCTTACACCTAAAGCTTAAATGTAAAATGCTAACCATCTAGCAGGTACTGAAGAAACAAGGCCTCTTCAAGTTTGATGACCTGTTTCCCATGGGTGCACCAAAAGCATGTTGATGTTGACTACAAAGAAGCTTCTACACACAGCTCTCTGCTCCCAATGCTCAGAGCAGACTCAGCCCACAGAGCAAAGTTATTCAGAGGACTGCCTCTGGGTCTAGGGCATTTCAATGACTGTATTTAACCTCACAAGATGTGGAGTCTGGCTGCAGCTTCCCAAAGAGATCCAGGGATACATACCACACCAGCTCTAGCACCTCACCATCTGCCACTCCCCATCTGGAGACTGCAGCATCTTGCTCACCATGTTGTGGTTTTCCAGCTTGCCCTTGCCTTTCATTTCCTTTTTAGGAGTAATATTATTCTATCTTCTTTCCATACATAGTGAACAATAGGTATGCAAGAGTAGCAGCTCTGCTGTACCACACAGTCCAGCCTTGTTCTCCCTGTGATATTCTACTCTCCTGGAAAAACTTTCCAACTAGCAAATGAAGCAAGAGGTGATAGCTGTGACTCTTAGGCTGGCACAAACTCACCACAGACCATAAAGCAGTGGTTCTTAATGTTCCTAACCCTGTGACGCTTTAATGTAGTTCCTCGTGTTGTGGTGACCTCCAACCATAAAATTATTTTGTTGCTACTTCATGACTGCATATTTGCTACTGGTATGAATCATAATGTAAATATCTGTGTTTTCTAATGGTCTTAGGCAACCCCTGTGAAAGGGTCATTCCACCCCCATTGGGGTTGTGATCCACAGGTTGAGAACCACTGCCATAAGATTGTTTTATACGTTTACAACTGGTTGAAAGAGTATGTGACATACAGAGTTCTAAGATCAGTGTCATCTGTGAATTTTATCCAAACACAACTTTTTATACAAATGTCATCTATGGAGGCTGGAAAGAAGGCTCTAAAGTTAAAAATACTTACCAGATGCTCTGCCAGAGGACCCAGGGTTTGATCCCCAGCATCCACATGGTAGCTCACAACCATCTGTAATGCCAATTCTGGAGGAACCAACACCCTCAACTAGCCTCCACAAGTACCAGACACACGTGGCACACAGACATACATGCAGACAAAACATCCATTTTAAAATAAAACAATTTTAAAGTACATTATTTATAACTGTTTTCGTGCTAAAATATCAGAATTGAATAGTTGCATGAAAGATCATTTGGCCCACAATCTCATCATATTTTCAGTCTAGCCATTTATAGAAAATGTGCTGACAACCGTTTAGGAGAACACTGGGCTCAAAGGCATGTTCACCTGCAACAGTCTCCTTACAACTCTTTCCTGTCCCTGAAATAACAGCTCTTCACTCAGCAAATTCCACCTCCCCTTCACTCCCACAGCCTCAGTCACACCTTTAAGAAGGTCATTGCTGTTATGCAGTGTCACGACCTGACCCAAATCAGGCATTCAGGGAAGCACAACTGTGGAAGAGACACCAACATTTTACCCTCTGGGTAGTTTCTAAGGGGAAGAAACAGTCTAATGATAGTTCAATTTAGAATCATATAATTTGTCATTTGCCAATAATTGTTACTACCGCCTCTCAAATTTGATGACTATGTTACACACATTTTAGGTTCATTTAGCTCAGTATGTTTTCAATAAAATTTATGTTATCCATTCACAATGGCTAGAACTTGGGGACAAGATCCTTAAGAATGAGCAGAGAATAGATTGTTTATTCCCAATACAAGATTCAACTGATATTCATGTGAAATCATGTCTTCCAAACAATATAGCATGAAAATAGACAGATCCTAGTTCTGAGAAAAAAAAACTATAGGTTGGTCTGTCTCTGCAGATGTCTGAAGGCATGCCCTAATCCTTTTTTAATTCTCCTCAAGTGACAAATGTTTATTGGAAAACTTCTCACACAAAGCAATAGCCTAGATCTCTAGCTGACACAAGGATTAATAATGCTCAGTTCCTGTTCTTCAGGAGTCATAGCTTAGAAATTATATTAGGCATAGAAAATGTGTGTATGAAGGAATAATCAACCAAGTTACTAGCAAATCAAATAATTAGTCATGGATATTTTTTTCTAGTGCATCTATAGGTACTGATTTTTCTTTATCAGCATTTTCAACTTTCTAATTTGGCTCTGTCAGTAAAATGCCTTCCATACAATTATGAGGACCTGAGTACAGATCCAGCACTCAAGCCATCCCCCCAAAAAAAGTCAGGTATGTTCATAGGATACCTGTAATAGGGTAAGGGCAGATTCTCCAGAGCTCACTGGCTAGGAAGTATAGCTGGCTTCAGAGAGAGACCCTGTCTCAAAAGACAAGATGGAAAGTCATCAGTAAAGATGCCTGACGTTGACCTCTAGCTTCTACAAGCAAGTAGACACACCCTTATGAGCACTCTCGAGCACACACACACACACACACACACACACACACACACGCACGCACGCATGCACGCACACACACAAACCCATGCATACACACATTAATTTGAAAATCATGAACAAGTTATGATTCTCTTATGAGTAATACTAGAAACATTTCTTACAGAAAGACCAAAGTTAATTGTGAAGAATAACAATTCACTACACAGACACTGCTAAAAGGTAATCTGGGGTAAGGGGGAGATTAAATAGCATATGTTCAAGTAATTAACTCCAGATGGACATAAAAGTAAATAAATTTGTATAGAAACAATGGAACTTAAGAGAAGCCACAGGCAAGATCAGGGGGGACCTAGAAAACATGTTTCTTCTTGCTATGGTTATATTGTAGTTAAAATGAAAGCCACATTCACAAATAGTTGTTCAAGTTAGATAAATTAAGTTAGACAAACAGATAAAAAGAAGAGCCTCTCTATAGCCACTACTGGCTCCCAAGAGGTGATTAAAATCATGGATGTCACCTGGCTAGAATCTCTTATATAAAACTAGTTTAAAATTGGTGCATCAAACTAAGTGATATTTCAGGTTGCTACTGAATATCGAATACCTTGAGTTTCTGACATTTGGGTTCTCATGTCATTCCATTCAACTTCTACTAAAGTACACAGTTGGCTGTCAATGCCATATCACATAGTTGGGTGTACACACACACACACACACACACAAACACACAATTTATTAAAAAAAAAAAAAAAAAAAAAAAAAAAAAAAAAAGCCTTTCTGCAAAGTGTCCTGAGAGTTGAACAGGTGGGGCTGATACTAGCCCAGATTTGGGAACTGCTATTGCAATCTTAAGTTAACATTTAAGGAAGTAAGAAGATAAACACCTGGGAGGTGGAGATGGAGAAGGAGCTGAACTTGTTTAGGAGTGAACTAGGACATCTCAAAGGAAGCAACTCCTCCCTAAGATGGACCATCATTGTCCCTATAAAAAGGCCAGTGTTTCCTAAGAGCAGCACCCTGCAAGCAACATCAGTCTCCATCCTGCTGTTCCTTTGGTGACTCAGGTAAGTGAGCAGCTTCAGTTCTATTCACAACATTTAGGTCTATTAATACTAATATCCACATTATACTTGAAAGCTTACGTTTTAGTATATTGTGATATAAAACTACACTGTTTATAATACCTATCTGAGATCTTTCCTTGAGTTTGGGAACCTAGTAATCCCCTGGCAGCTTGTCTCTATTTTTTCTGTGTGGTATAAACAGAAAGCCCCAAAAACAGCCCTACATGAAGAATAAAAACAGAAGCTGTCTGATAGGAGCTCCTTTAGATCCTATTACTAAACCTGTGGTTGGCTTTGTTTATTTTTTTCTACTTTCTTTATCCTGGAACTTTGAGAATGCAAGTTAGCCACTAGGGATCTTTAGGTAGATTTAGGCACAGTATATAAGTGATATATCTCTCCTTGTAGTGTAATGGTTGAGACCTAGGAAGCAACTATGTAGTGGATAGATTAGCACATTCAGGTTTTCTATAGCTCCCAAACAAATCAAAAGCCCAATAAAAAGGCTCCTCTACACTTATTCAGGAATCAAAGTAAGACATAGGGATCCTGTTCTAATTTCATCACTCTCTTGCTACATAGCTGAAGCAAGTTATTCAACCTTGGGTTTATTCTTAACTAGTACAGAGAGAAAATTAATCATGACTGATAATTATCACAAATGACTGGAAGTAGTTAGGTGCTTAAGCATTAAGAGATGAATGTCTTACTCCCCAATCTAGGTTAACTTGAATTCATAAGAAGATGCCTAAACTCCTGCAAGGGATTGTCACTGTCATCGAAGTTTTCTACCAATATGCCACTGAAGATGGGAACTGTGACATGTTGAGCAAAGAAGAAATGAAAGGACTTCTAGAAAATGAGTTTCACCAAATTCTGAAGGTAAGAAATCTATACCAGGACTGAATTCTGAAACAATTCTCAGCCTTACCCTGCCTTTGGTTTATATATGTCAAACATCAGAGAAGACTCTCCTATTTGGCAATAGAGAATTGAATTTGGCAGACTTACAATGCTATAAACCATTGACTAATAATGTTTATATAACATGATTAAGTTAAAATGATACTACCAAAAAACAGACAAATTCATATACTTAAATTTTTGCTCTCTGTGGGAGCAATTCTTTTGACCCTCAGAAAATCTGCAAAATATATTGAATTCATATTCTTTTTGGTTTTCTTTAGTGCAGTGTCCAAACCACTGCCTATTCCTGGGGTTCTGGTAATCTAGGGCCTCTTAAGTTTGGGACATTTGTATTGACCTATCAATTACCAAAAAAGAAAAGAAACACTTTAAAATTATCACCTCTGGAAATAAACATGTGAGGGCTTAATCCCACCCTTAAATGCAAATGCTTACTGAGTATCATTTGGATTACTAAGGATCTCTTACATCACATGTAATTATAGCCTTATCCTCTAAAATCCTTCCTTCTCTTTTAGCTCAATATAGGATCCCAGGGTTAATATTGATTTCCTCAGTCTCAGAAGGCACTACCACCTTCTGAACTCCATCCAGTTCACAAAGAGACTTTTTAAAAATATTCCACTTCTCTCCATCAAAGCTGCTAGTCCTCTGGTCAGGCTACCTTCCTTCTTGATCTCACCACACAAATTCCCCTAATTAGTTTAATCTGCTCTTAATATAAGCGTCAAAATTCATCACCATGATTTTAAAAAATGTGATCTAGTCTCTATCTCTATATCTAGTTATCTTTACTCCTTGTACTAAATTAGCACTCTCAGATTTCTGTCAGTTCTTTAAATAAACCACACCTCCTTCCTTTCACTCTTTGTTCATATCATCACCTCTATCTTCATCTTCTTCCTAGTATTTCCTCCTGCCTTTCTTCACTTGGCTAATTCTAACCCACCCATCAGTGAATACCATATTCTCTCATTAATCTTTCTTGAATCACAATTGGTCCCCCTTTGATGCACTCCCATTTGTTATAACAAATAATAAACTTTATATCAAACCACTAGCCTTCACTTTTTCAATTTTATTTATTTTATCAACTAACTTTTTATTAAATCAAGGTCTCATGTAATATAGTCAGACCTTCCACTTGCTGTGTAGCTGAAAATGACCTTGAACTCCTGATCCCACCTCCAGCGTGACGGGATTACAGTGTGTACCATAATACATAGGAAAACCACTGAAATGGTCTGCTGCTTTAGACCCTCCACAACACAGTGGTAGGCAGAGAGAAGCTGCATATAGCCCCCCAAAAATATGTTTCAAAGTTTGTAATTAGCAAATTAACTAACTGAACAAAGAAAATTTATATATAATTCATACACATGTCTGCAATTATTATTTATACATAAGCTAATTATACTTGATTAACCATTGTTCTTTCTTTCCTTTTTGTTTTGTTTTGTTTGATTGTTTGTTTTATGGCAAGACCTTACTTTTAATTCCAAGGAACTTGCGACATAACCTACACTGTTTTAAAACTCAGGATCATACTTCCTGACCTTCAAAGCACAGGTCTCAGCTACTATCTTTATGAGAAAAGATAGGGTCACTTGATTACCTGAACCTTTCAAATGCATCCCCTCCTGGCTAATTCTTCTTGCCAATTTATTGCTTGCATTCTTGCTGGCTGGTTCTCTCTCTCTCTCTCTCTCTCTCTCTCTCTCTCTCTCTCTCTCTCTCTGTCTCTCTCTCTCCTCATTCTAGATAAAGAAATATGTGATTAATTTCAACATACCTTACAAAATATTCACATTTCTATAGCAGTCTCCCAAACAGTTGACTGGTTTTACAATTTATAGTTACTATTACTAAGCCTCCATGTATACATTATTCCTTTACAGAATCCAGATGATCCAGACACTGTAGAAATCATCATGCAAAGTCTGGACAGAGATCATAACAACAAAGTGGATTTTAATGAGTATCTTCTGATGATAGCAAAGCTAACACAAGCTTGTAATAAAATTATTGGCAAAGATTACTGCCAAGCTTCAGGGTCAAAGCAGAAAAATCACAGTCACCAGCACCAAAAGGAACAGAGTGAAGAAGGACAACATGACAAAAAGGAAGATGGCTATTCAAGTTATTCAAGTTCTAGTGCAGGAGAGAATGATACTAATTCCAAGGACACAAAAAGAAACAAAAAACACAACTCTAAGTCAAGTTCTGGAAAATTAAGGGAAGAGAACCAGCATAGCTCCGAAGAAGGAAGAAGATCAAATTCAAGTCACTTAAACAACAATGAGAAATATAAACAAGACCATTATAGATCAGAATCAACAACTTCATCTAGCCATAACAGAAGAACTAGCTCAAGGGAAAGTATGGACAACCAGCAAAGCACATATGGCTCAAGAGGACAGACTAGCAGCTGCGGTGGACAACTATCTGCAAAACATCAGTCAACTGGTAATGAAAAACATGATGTTTCATCAGAAGAAGCATCAAGCTGGGGGTCAGGACCCTCAACCAGCACCACTACAGAACATGGTTCCTCCCTTAGTCAGTCTAAAAGCTATGGAAAACAAAATGCAGGGACAAACCAGTCTTCTAGCCAGAAGAGAAATGGCTTACAATCGGGACAATATTCTGGTTTAGGGCAACATGGTTCTGCACTGGGCCACACTACTGGCTCCATAGGGCAAGATCAATCATCGGGTACTGGAAAATATGGCACATCATCAGGACAGACATCAGGCTCAAGCTCAGGTCAGTCCACTACCTTTGGCAAGCATGGATCAGGACAACGAGAGTCATCAAGCCAGAGAAGGACTAGGTCTAGCTCAAGGGAGTCTTCAGGCTCCCTACAATATGGGTCAGGCTCAGGAGGGACTTCTGGCTGTAGTCAACAGGAATCTGGGCAAGGCCAGTCTTCCGGAAGTGGGCAACAGGGTTCCTTCTCTGGACAGTCAGCGGGGAGGCATCAGCATGGATCCTGCTGCGGTCACTCCTCTAGCTATGGGGAGCATGGCTCTGGATCTAGCTCGGGTCAATCTCCCAGCTATGGGACACACAACTCAGGGTCAGGCCGGTCTTCTAGCCAGAGGAGAAGTGGCTCTGGATCAGGGCAGTCTTCTGGTGTAGGGCAGCATGGTTCTGCATCGGGCCATTCTTCTGGCTCCATTGGGCAAGGTCAGTCATCGGGTACTGGACAATACGGCACTTCATCAGGGCAGACGTCAGGCTGGGGCTCAGGTCAGTCCACCACCTATGGACAGCATGGATCAGGACAAAGAGAGTCTTCGAGCCAGAGAAGGACTAGGTCTAGCTCAAGGGAGTCTTCTGGCTCCCGGCACTATGGGTCCGGCTCAAGGGGGTCTTCTAGCTTTAATCAGCATGGATCTGGCAATGGTCAGTCATCTGGTACTGGACAATATGGCACTTCATCAGGACAGACATCAGGCTCAAGCTCAGGTCAGTCCACTACCTTTGGCAAGCATGGATCAGGACAAAGAGAGTCATCAAGCCAGAGAAGGACTAGGTCTAGCTCAAGGGAGTCTTCAGGCTCCCTACAATATGGGTCAGGCTCAGGAGGGACTTCTGGCTGTAGTCAACAGGAATCTGGGCAAGGCCAGTCTTCTGGAAGTGGGCAACAGGGTTCCTTCTCTGGACAGTCAGCGGGGAGGCATCAGCATGGATCCTGCTGCGGTCACTCCTCTAGCTATGGGGAGCATGGCTCTGGATCTAGCTCGGGTCAATCTCCCAGCTATGGGACACACAACTCAGGGTCAGGCCGGTCTTCTAGCCAGAGGAGAAGTGGCTCTGGATCAGGGCAGTCTTCCGGTGTAGGGCAGCATGGTTCTGCATCGGGCCACTCTTCTGGCTCCATTGAGCAAGGTCAGTCATCGGGTACTGGACAATACGGCACTTCATCAGGGCAGACGTCAGGCTGGGGCTCAGGTCAGTCCACCACCTATGGACAGCATGGATCAGGACAAAGAGAGTCTTCGAGCCAGAGAAGGACTAGGTCTAGCTCAAGGGAGTCTTCTGGCTCCCGGCACTATGGGTCCGGCTCAAGGGGGTCTTCTAGCTTTAATCAGCATGGATCTGGCAATGGACAGTCATCTGGTACTGGACAATATGGCACTTCATCAGGACAGACATCAGGCTCAAGCTCAGGTCAGTCCACTACCTTTGGCAAGCATGGATCAGGACAAAGAGAGTCATCAAGCCAGAGAAGGACTAGGTCTAGCTCAAGGGAGTCTTCAGGCTCCCTACAATATGGGTCAGGCTCAGGAGGGACTTCTGGCTGTAGTCAACAGGAATCTGGGCAAGGCCAGTCTTCTGGAAGTGGGCAACAGGGCTCCTTCTCTGGACAGTCAGCGGGGAGGCATCAGCATGGATCCTGCTGCGGTCACTCCTCTAGCTATGGGGAGCATGGCTCTGGATCTAGCTCGGGTCAATCTCCCAGCTATGGGACACACAACTCAGGGTCAGGCCGGTCTTCTAGCCAGAGGAGAAGTGGCTCTGGATCAGGGCAGTCTTCCGGTGTAGGGCAGCATGGTTCTGCATCGGGCCACTCTTCTGGCTCCATTGGGCAAGGTCAGTCATCGGGTACTGGACAATACGGCACTTCATCAGGGCAGACGTCAGGCTGGGGCTCAGGTCAGTCCACCACCTATGGACAGCATGGATCAGGACAAAGAGAGTCTTCGAGCCAGAGAAGGACTAGGTCTAGCTCAAGGGAGTCTTCTGGCTCCCGGCACTATGGGTCCGGCTCAAGGGGGTCTTCTAGCTTTAATCAGCATGGATCTGGCAATGGACAGTCATCTGGTACTGGACAATATGGCACTTCATCAGGACAGACATCAGGCTCAAGCTCAGGTCAGTCCACTACCTTTGGCAAGCATGGATCAGGACAAAGAGAGTCATCAAGCCAGAGAAGGACTAGGTCTAGCTCAAGGGAGTCTTCAGGCTCCCTACAATATGGGTCAGGCTCAGGAGGGACTTCTGGCTGTAGTCAACAGGAATCTGGGCAAGGCCTGTCTTCCGGAAGTGGGCAACAGGGTTCCTTCTCTGGACAGTCAGCGGGGAGGCATCAGCATGGATCCTGCTGCGGTCACTCCTCTAGCTATGGGGAGCATGGCTCTGGATCTAGCTTGGGTCAATCTCCCAGCTATGGGACACACAAATCAGGGTCAGGCCGGTCTTCTAGCCAGAGGAGAAGTGGCTCTGGATCAGGGCAGTCTTCTGGTGTAGGGCAGCATGGTTCTGCATCGGGCCACTCTTCTGGCTCCATTGGGCAAGGTCAGTCATCGGGTACTGGACAATACGGCACTTCATCAGGGCAGACGTCAGGCTGGGGCTCAGGTCAGTCCACCACCTATGGACAGCATGGATCAGGACAAAGAGAGTCTTCGAGCCAGAGAAGGACTAGGTCTAGCTCAAGGGAGTCTTCTGGCTCCCGGCACTATGGGTCCGGCTCAAATGGGTCTTCTAGCTTTAATCAGCATGGATCTGGCAATGGTCAGTCATCTGGTACTGGACAATATGGCACTTCATCAGGACAGACATCAGGCTCAAGCTCAGGTCAGTCCACTACCTTTGGCAAGCATGGATCAGGACAAAGAGAGTCATCAAGCCAGAGAAGGACTAGGTCTAGCTCAAGGGAGTCTTCAGGCTCCCTACAATATGGGTCAGGCTCAGGAGGGACTTCTGGCTGTAGTCAACAGGAATCTGGGCAAGGCCAGTCTTCCGGAAGTGGGCAACAGGGTTCCTTCTCTGGACAGTCAGCGGGGAGGCATCAGCATGGATCCTGCTGCGGTCACTCCTCTAGCTATGGGGAGCATGGCTCTGGATCTAGCTCGGGTCAATCTCCCAGCTATGGGACACACAACTCAGGGTCAGGCCGGTCTTCTAGCCAGAGGAGAAGTGGCTCTGGATCAGGGCAGTCTTCCGGTGTAGGGCAGCATGGTTCTGCATCGGGCCACTCTTCTGGCTCCATTGGGCAAGGTCAGTCATCGGGTACTGGACAATACGGCACTTCATCAGGGCAGACGTCAGGCTGGGGCTCAGGTCAGTCCACCACCTATGGACAGCATGGATCAGGACAAAGAGAGTCTTCGAGCCAGAGAAGGACTAGGTCTAGCTCAAGGGAGTCTTCTGGCTCCCGGCACTATGGGTCCGGCTCAAGGGGGTCTTCTAGCTTTAATCAGCATGGATCTGGCAATGGTCAGTCATCTGGTACTGGACAATATGGCACTTCATCAGGACAGACATCAGGCTCAAGCTCAGGTCAGTCCACTACCTTTGGCAAGCATGGATCAGGACAAAGAGAGTCATCAAGCCAGAGAAGGACTAGGTCTAGCTCAAGGGAGTCTTCAGGCTCCCTACAATATGGGTCAGGCTCAGGAGGGACTTCTGGCTGTAGTCAACAGGAATCTGGGCAAGGCCAGTCTTCTGGAAGTGGGCAACAGGGTTCCTTCTCTGGACAGTCAGCGGGGAGGCATCAGCATGGATCCTGCTGCGGTCACTCCTCTAGCTATGGGGAGCATGGCTCTGGATCTAGCTCGGGTCAATCTCCCAGATATGGGACACACAACTCAGGGTCAGGCCGGTCTTCTAGCCAGAGGAGAAGTGGCTCTGGATCAGGGCAGTCTTCTGGTGTAGGGCAGCATGGTTCTGCATCGGGCCACTCTTCTGGCTCCATAGGGCAAGGTCAGTCATCGGGTACTGGACAATACGGCACTTCATCAGGGCAGACGTCAGGCTGGGGCTCAGGTCAGTCCACCACCTATGGACAGCATGGATCAGGACAAAGAGAGTCTTCGAGCCAGAGGACTAGGTCTAGCTCAAGGGAGTCTTCTGGCTCCCGGCACTATGGGTCCGGCTCAAGGGGGTCTTCTAGCTTTAATCAGCATGGATCTGGCAATGGACAGTCATCTGGTACTGGACAATATGGCACTTCATCAGGACAGACATCAGGCTCAAGCTCAGGTCAGTCCACTACCTTTGGCAAGCATGGATCAGGACAAAGAGAGTCATCAAGCCAGAGAAGGACTAGGTCTAGCTCAAGGGAGTCTTCAGGCTCCCTACAATATGGGTCAGGCTCAGGAGGGACTTCTGGCTGTAGTCAACAGGAATCTGGGCAAGGCCAGTCTTCCGGAAGTGGGCAACAGGGTTCCTTCTCTGGACAGTCAGCGGGGAGGCATCAGCATGGATCCTGCTGCGGTCACTCCTCTAGCTATGGGGAGCATGGCTCTGGATCTAGCTCGGGTCAATCTCCCAGCTATGGGACACACAACTCAGGGTCAGGCCGGTCTTCTAGCCAGAGGAGAAGTGGCTCTGGATCAGGGCAGTCTTCCGGTGTAGGGCAGCATGGTTCTGCATCGGGCCACTCTTCTGGCTCCATTGGGCAAGGTCAGTCATCGGGTACTGGACAATACGGCACTTCATCAGGGCAGACGTCAGGCTGGGGCTCAGGTCAGTCCACCACCTATGGACAGCATGGATCAGGACAAAGAGAGTCTTCGAGCCAGAGAAGGACTAGGTCTAGCTCAAGGGAGTCTTCTGGCTCCCGGCACTATGGGTCCGGCTCAAGGGGGTCTTCTAGCTTTAATCAGCATGGATCTGGCAATGGTCAGTCATCTGGTACTGGACAATATGGCACTTCATCAGGACAGACATCAGGCTCAAGCTCAGGTCAGTCCACTACCTTTGGCAAGCATGGATCAGGACAAAGAGAGTCATCAAGCCAGAGAAGGACTAGGTCTAGCTCAAGGGAGTCTTCAGGCTCCCTACAATATGGGTCAGGCTCAGGAGGGACTTCTGGCTGTAGTCAACAGGAATCTGGGCAAGGCCAGTCTTCCGGAAGTGGGCAACAGGGTTCCTTCTCTGGACAGTCAGCGGGGAGGCATCAGCATGGATCCTGCTGCGGTCACTCCTCTAGCTATGGGGAGCATGGCTCTGGATCTAGCTCGGGTCAATCTCCCAGCTATGGGACACACAACTCAGGGTCAGGCCGGTCTTCTAGCCAGAGGAGAAGTGGCTCTGGATCAGGGCAGTCTTCCGGTGTAGGGCAGCATGGTTCTGCATCGGGCCACTCTTCTGGCTCCATTGGGCAAGGTCAGTCATCGGGTACTGGACAATACGGCACTTCATCAGGGCAGACGTCAGGCTGGGGCTCAGGTCAGTCCACCACCTATGGACAGCATGGATCAGGACAAAGAGAGTCTTCGAGCCAGAGAAGGACTAGGTCTAGCTCAAGGGAGTCTTCTGGCTCCCGGCACTATGGGTCCGGCTCAAATGGGTCTTCTAGCTTTAATCAGCATGGATCTGGCAATGGTCAGTCATCTGGTACTGGACAATATGGCACTTCATCAGAACAGACATCAGGCTCAAGCTCAGGTCAGTCCACTACCTTTGGCAAGCATGGATCAGGACAAAGAGAGTCATCAAGCCAGAGAAGGACTAGGTCTAGCTCAAGGGAGTCTTCAGGCTCCCTACAATATGGGTCAGGCTCAGGAGGGACTTCTGGCTGTAGTCAACAGGAATCTGGGCAAGGCCAGTCTTCTGGAAGTGGGCAACAGGGTTCCTTCTCTGGACAGTCAGCGGGGAGGCATCAGCATGGATCCTGCTGCGGTCACTCCTCTAGCTATGGGGAGCATGGCTCTGGATCTAGCTCGGGTCAATCTCCCAGCTATGGGACACACAACTCAGGGTCAGGCCGGTCTTCTAGCCAGAGGAGAAGTGGCTCTGAATCAGGGCAGTCTTCCGGTGTAGGGCAGCATGGTTCTGCATCGGGCCACTCTTCTGGCTCCATAGGGCAAGGTCAGTCATCGGGTACTGGACAATACGGCACTTCATCAGGGCAGACGTCAGGCTGGGGCTCAGGTCAGTCCACCACCTATGGACAGCATGGATCAGGACAAAGAGAGTCTTCGAGCCAGAGGACTAGGTCTAGCTCAAGGGAGTCTTCTGGCTCCCGGCACTATGGGTCCGGCTCAAGGGGGTCTTCTAGCTTTAATCAGCATGGATCTGGCAATGGACAGTCATCTGGTACTGGACAATATGGCACTTCATCAGGACAGACATCAGGCTCAAGCTCAGGTCAGTCCACTACCTTTGGCAAGCATGGATCAGGACAAAGAGAGTCATCAAGCCAGAGAAGGACTAGGTCTAGCTCAAGGGAGTCTTCAGGCTCCCTACAATATGGGCCAGGCTCAGGAGGGACTTCTGGCTGTAGTCAACAGGAATCTGGGCAAGGCCAGTCTTCTGGAAGTGGGCAACAGGGTTCCTTCTCTGGACAGTCATTGGGGAGGCATCAGCATGGATCCTGCTGCGGTCACTCCTCTAGCTATGGGGAGCATGGCTCTGGATCTAGCTCGGGTCAATCTCCCAGATATGGGACACACAACTCAGGGTCAGGCCGGTCTTCTAGCCAGAGGAGAAGTGGCTCTGGATCAGGGCAGTCTTCTGGTATAGGGCAGCATGGTTCTGCATCGGGCCACTCTTCTGGCTCCATAGGGCAAGGTCAGTCATCGGGTACTGGACAATACGGCACTTCATCAGGGCAGACGTCAGGCTGGGGCTCAGGTCAGTCCACCACCTATGGACAGCATGGATCAGGACAAAGAGAGTCTTCGAGCCAGAGGACTAGGTCTAGCTCAAGGGAGTCTTCTGGCTCCCGGCACTATGGGTCCGGCTCAAGGGGGTCTTCTAGCTTTAATCAACATGGATCTGGCAATGGACAGTCATCTGGTACTGGACAATATGGCACTTCATCAGGACAGACATCAGGTTCAAGCTCAGGTCAGTCCACTACCTTTGGCAAGCATGGATCAGGACAAAGAGAGTCATCAAGCCAGAGAAGGACTAGGTCTAGCTCAAGGGAGTCTTCAGGCTCCCTACAATATGGGTCAGGCTCAGGAGGGACTTCTGGCTGTAGTCAACAGGAATCTGGGCAAGGCCAGTCTTCTGGAAGTGGGCAACAGGGTTCCTTCTCTGGACAGTCAGCGGGGAGGCATCAGCATGGATCCTGCTGCGGTCACTCCTCTAGCTATGGGGAGCATGGCTCTGGATCTAGCTCGGGTCAATCTCCCAGCTATGGGACACACAACTCAGGGTCAGGCCGGTCTTCTAGCCAGAGGAGAAGTGGCTCTGGATCAGGGCAGTCTTCCGGTGTAGGGCAGCATGGTTCTGCATCGGGCCACTCTTCTGGCTCCATTGAGCAAGGTCAGTCATCGGGTACTGGACAATACGGCACTTCATCAGGGCAGACGTCAGGCTGGGGCTCAGGTCAGTCCACCACCTATGGACAGCATGGATCAGGACAAAGAGAGTCTTCGAGCCAGAGAAGGACTAGGTCTAGCTCAAGGGAGTCTTCTGGCTCCCGGCACTATGGGTCCGGCTCAAGGGGGTCTTCTAGCTTTAATCAGCATGGATCTGGCAATGGACAGTCATCTGGTACTGGACAATATGGCACTTCATCAGGACAGACATCAGGCTCAAGCTCAGGTCAGTCCACTGCCTTTGGCAAGCATGGATCAGGACAAAGAGAGTCATCAAGCCAGAGAAGGACTAGGTCTAGCTCAAGGGAGTCTTCAGGCTCCCTACAATATGCGTCAGGCTCAGGAGGGACTTCTGGCTGTAGTCACCAGGAATCTGGGCAAGGCCAGTCTTCTGGAAGTGGGCAACAGGGTTCCTTCTCTGGACAGTCATCTGCCGGTAGTCAGTATGGATATGGTACTTGTCAGTCCTCTAATTCAGGACAACATTATACATCATCTGGTCAATCTTCATGTTCTAGGCCTTTTCAGTACAGCTCTGGTCAGTCACCTAACTGTGATCAGCAAGGTTCTAATTCCTGGAATTCTCCTAGCTATGACCAGCAAATGTCTGGATCATACCAGTCTTCTTCCTGTAGTAATCATGGGTCTACCTATGGAGAGTCCTCCCAGTTTGGCCATTGTGGGTCTGGCTCATTAGAATATTCTGGCTGTTATAACCAAGGATCTCATTCAGGTCAATCCAGTCTGTGCCAACATCATTCCCATATCAATGAATATACTGGCAATGGACAGTATAGTCCAATATCAGAACAGTCATACTGCTATGGTCATTGTGGATCAAAGTCAACCCAATCTTCTTGTAGTCATCAACAAGGGTCTCATTTAAGTCAGTCTTCTAACTATGGCCAATATGAATGCCCCGGAAGTCAGTACACTAGCCAGGACCAACATGGTTCTGGGTGTAATCAGAGTTTTAGCTCTGAACCTTATGGGCCTGATGCCTATCCTTCTTCTTCATGTAGGCAAAATTGTCCCAGGTCTGGTCTGTGTCCTAGTTCACAACAATATGGTTCTGATTCATGTCAATCATTTAGCTCTGGGTCATGTGGTTCTGGATATGGACAATATTCTAGCTATGAGCAAACTCAATCAAATAGGAGATGTGGAAACAAATGGGAATCTAGCTGTAGCCCCTCAGCTTGTAATAAAAATCAATCAATAAGTGTGTATCGGCAAGTAGGAACCTCCTCAGGTTGTGGCTTTGGACATTTTACACCTTCACCCGGACAGAATAGATTCCATACTACTGGTCAAGTGTCACTTTACAATTTGCACAATAGACAAGGTGACTCTGACTATAATAGAGTCAGGGAAGGTAACTCTGGAATGAGAAATATGGGCTTAGTTTCTCACAGTGTCAATAGTAGCACTCCTCTCTATGAGTATGTCCAAGAGCAGAGACGCTAATTATCAGAATGAGTAAGGGAATAAGATAAAGTGAAATTAAAAGTTAATTTAAGAAATATATTATTCTAGAATTCATCATGCAATTTTTCTCAATCTGGACATATCTTCTCTCATTCTTTTCAAAGAAAATTAGCCTATATTCCTTGTTAATGAGTTCCTCCCATGTAATGTATTATATTTGAGGTACTTAATTTGGATCTATTGCAACGGCTAAATGCTTACTTTAAGGAAATTCAGTTTTGAAGAATAAGTTAAAAAGTTGGGGGTTTAGTGGGATTAAGTTTGGGAAGAATAAAGAGTATGGGGTTTGGTTAATGAATCTATCTGAAAGATTATTTAGTTAGGAATGATGCTAAAGCTAAGCTTGTAGTTTTAAAGGGTAATATAGTATAAATGTGTTATCATTCCAGTTGCCAAAGTTTTATCTTACATCAACATACAGTCTAATTTTTAATGTACATTAACATTATATGGCAAAAGAAAGAGGGAAAAAGTGACAGAGTATTGGTGGTTTCTATTCACACAAATCAACAAGATACTTCTTTGGTACATTTTAAATCAGTAAGTGAACAAGTATAACTAAATTTTTGCTTTAGATGCTTCTCTCTAGCCACTGGAAAAGAGGTGCAGGACCAAAAATTCCAAATGTGGACCTAAACTTTATTTCAGCAAGAAAGATCTTCACTTCCATTTATATGAAATTTCAGATTAGAAAAAATATATTTATAGCACAGAAATATAAGTAGCTTACTGGTCCTCCTGTGTAGAGATATCATAACCAGATGGAAAGGAAGCTCGCCATTGTTATATAGTTCTTTGTTTCACTATATTTGTTTTAAGTCTTTGGATTTGATTAACTGGATTGCATTAATATTGACAATAAATTAGTGGTGACTAAATATTGAGCTTTGTCTTTCCTCTGCTTCAGTTCACTTCTTTCACACAAGTTGTCAAACTAGAAACCAACACAAGTAGCTATTTCCCAAAGTTTCATAATCCACAGATAATCCAGATTTTAAAAAATTAAAATCTCCCAGTACTCTTTCCTCTATCCTCTCCTGTTGCCATGCTCACCCCTATCCAGACCCCTCCCCCCATCCACCTGTGATGTCTATTCATCTTCCCCTTCACAGTGAGATTCTTGTGCCCCACCTGCCTTCAGTCCTCCTTTTCATTGGCTTCTCTGGGGCTGTGAACTGTGGCATGGTTAGCCTTTACTTTATGGCTAATATCTACTTATGAGTGAGTACATATCATGCTTGCCTTTTTGGGTCTGGGTTACCTCACTCAGGATGATCTTTTCTAGTGCCATCCATTTGCCTGAAGATGTCATGATGTCATTGTTTTTAACATCTGAGTAATACTCCATGGATAAATGTACCACATTTTCTTTATCCAGTCTTTGTTGGATTAATATTTAGGTTGTTTCCAATCTCTGGCTATTATGAACATAGTCAGTAAGGATCTCTAGAATGAGCTGGAAACCTAGTACAATGTAAACTCCCAGGAATCTATGAGGGTGACCCTAGCTAAGTCTCCTAACAGCGGACCCTGACTGGCATCTCTTGTAAGCAGGCAAGACTTCCACTGGAGGGATTGGGACCCTAATTCAGCCACACAACCTTTGGCTTACAATTTGCCCTTTCTACAAAATATTCTGGGGTAAAAGTGATGCAAAAATGATGGGAGTAGCCATGGGTCCAGCTTGTGACCCATGAGAGGGAGCCCACCCCTGACACTGTCTGGAGGACCTGGACCTAGAGGCTGGGCAGTCCAGAGACCTAGGATAGGACCAAACATGACTGGCAATAAAAAACAAACAAACAAAAAGTCAATGAAATGATTCCTAATGATATTCTGCTATATATTACACTCATAGATTGCTGGCTAGCCCTATTGTAATCAAACAGGCTTCTCCTGGCTTCCAATGGAAAGAGATGCAGAAACCCACAGCCAAATATTAGGCAGAGCTCGGGGAATTCTGTGGAAGATGGAGAGGAAGAATTTGAGGACCCAGAGGGGTCAAGGTCATCACAAGAAAACTGACAGAATCAATTAACCTGAATACACTGTGTGTTATAGAGCCTGAACCCCCAACCAGAGAGCTTGCATGGAACTCACCTAGGCCCTCTGCACATATTTTGCAGTTGTGTAGCTTGATCTTCATGTGGGACTTCTAACAGTGGGATCAGGGGCTGTCTCAGACTCTGTTAACTGCTTTTGGGACCCTTCCCTCCTACTGGGTTGCCTTATCTAGCATTCGTAGGAAAGGAAAGAGACAGGAAAGGGAAGGGAAGAGAAGGGGAGGGGAGGGAAGGGAAGAGAAGGTAATGGGAGGAGAGAAGAACAGGGCGGGAGGAGAAAGAAGGGGAAGACAGGGGAGAAGAGGAGAGGAGGAGAGGAAAGGAGAGGAGAGGAGAAATACAAAAGAAAGAAATGCTAATAGAACCCTACAGGACCAGTTTATGCTTCACATCCTGTGCCCTGGCCTATCAATAATGAGTCCACCTGACCCCAGTCTTCCTACACCCTCCCCAGTTCCCACACCCAGCCCAGGTTTCATGCTGTGTGTCCCGTCCTAGTCTGAAGAGCCTTATAACACTCTCAATCTCCAGACATGGCCCCAGTGGCAGATGTTTTGTGCTAGGTCTGATGTTGAATTCACCAGATCCTATCCTACTCATGCTATGTTGAACCTCCAGACTTAGTCTAGGTCACACATCCTATATGATAGTCCAGTCTAGTGAGTTTTCTGGACTCTCTACCCAGACTATACTACACCCAACCTTCAAATATGGGATACATATTTGCATGCTGGCATGGCCTGATGAGTCCCTAGAACATCAGCTGCTCACCCTAATCCTCTTGTCAAGCCTCAGTCACACAGCTAAATCCCTGGAAAATCACATGTGTCTGCCATCCCATACCTTCATCTTAGTTCCATCTTAGCCTATGATGTTGAGTGCCAATTCCCCAGTGCAAGCATGGAATCCTCATCTTCCCAGATCTTGAATAGTAAGGATTACACATCAGCTGAATAAGATCCAACCATTTGTCCCATTCACTTGTTTAACGCAGAATTGGGCTCATACCTGATCTGAGGTCGACCAACCTTGAACAAAACAAAATACAGCTAATTTCACATCAAACACACAACCAACAACATGCCAAGTCTCATCACAAAAACACAAATATTAAGGGCCAAGTCAGTCTGTCACCAAATTGAAGAGCTACTTCCTTGAGATGATAAACAAGATCATCAGGTCCTTGACCTAACTAACCAAAAGGAAAGAAAGAACCCACGTGAACAGAATCAGCAATGATGAGGCAAACATTACAAGAGACACCAAGTTCAAAACATTATAAAGGAAGATAATATTAAAAATTATATCTTTTATTTTTAATGAGATTATACTATAATTACATCATTTCCCCTTCCTTTTTCTCCCCCTTCAAACCCTCCCATTTGCCACTCCTGGTTCTCTTTCAAATTCATGGCCTATTTTCCATTAATTGTTTTTACACACACACACACACACACACACACACACACACACACACATTTCTAAATGCATAAATAAGTCTTTCTCAGTCTGTACAATGGTGCTAGTATGTATGTTTTCAGGGCTGACTATTTAATACTCCATAAGCAATTGGTGTGATATTCCCTGGGGAACACCATCTCTCCTGCTATCAGCATTCCTTAATTTCCTGTAACTCTTTGTGTAGGATTGAGGCCTTATGTCTTTTCCCCATCCACATTTGCATGTCTATTATTGTCCCTTTCAGCTCAGGTTTAGGCAGTTCTGCTGGTGAGACTTTCTTGACATTCCTGGGAGACAAAATCTTATATCAAACCCCTGGATTCACTAGATTTTACAATCTTTCTATCCTTTCTTCCAAAATGTTCCCTAAGCTTTGTATACAGGAGAGACTTTGTGGATGGATCAATTAGGACTCTATTGGTATGGTTTCTGTAATGACCTCATCTGTGGCACATAGGCATGGGAAGTAAGGACTATACTTACATGTGGGTATAAGGATAAATATAGTGTAGTTATGGATGTTTTAGGAAAGTTGTGGTTGTACTTTCTCCTCCAAATTCTCTACTGTTTTATGAGCTTCCTCTTTACTTGATTGTTCAGTTAGATGTGAAGAAACTTTTTTTATGAGGTTTCACGTTTCAATTATTGATCTTAATTCCTGTGTAAATGGAGTAAACCTTTTTTACACCTATATCATGTAGGATACTGCCTAGTTTTATTCTGGCAGTGTCAGTGTTTTGTGTTTAGGTCTTTTATTCATCCTATTCAGCAGCAATCTAAAATAAGAACACATCCTATGACATAAAACAAATCCTTACAAGTTCAAAAAGTTTGAAATAATTCTGTTTATTCTATCAACCTTAATACAATAAAAGTTAAAATTTACAGCAAACAAGTTTCTTGTAAACATACAGGTCCATGGAGATTAAACAACTCATGATTAAACAACTGAATGATGAATAAGACAAAGAAGAAATCAAGAAAGATATAAAAAATGTTCTGGAACTAAATGAAATTACAATGAAACAAAACCTCGAGGACATATTTAAATCAACCCCATAAGGGTAAACAAAGAAAACTTAGTGATGCGACTCAAATTTTGGAAAACAAAATAAAAATTAAACAAATCCAAAACCAGCTGATGGCAAGAAATAATAAAAAAACCACAGCAGAAATTACTGAAATAGAAATAAAGAAGACAATACCAATAACCAACAAATATAATTTGGTTCTTTGATAAAATAAACAAGATTGACAGATCCTTGCCCCAGCTAATCAAAAGAAAGCGAGGACCATCAAAAAACCAAGATGTCAATAACCTAAACAGACACACAACAAATGAGTACATTGAAATAGTAATGAAAAGCCTTGCAGCTAAGAAAACGTCAGGGCCAGAAGGGTTCAGAGCAGAGTCTACCAAACTTTAAATATATATAGATATAGATATAGATATAGATAGAGATAGAGAT